AATGTAAATAATGTACATAATACCTAATCTCAGAAATATAGACAGATACTGAAGATGAGAAATTTATTTATGAATTTATGTTTGAAGTTGTGTCAGTAGCTTGTTTCAGGAAAATAAATCAGAATTCTTAAAGTTGTTAATTTTAACTACTGTCATAAAGAGGAAATGTTCATATGACATTAAATAATCTAACACAAAATAATATTCAAAAATGTTTAAAGCAAAATTAAGAGACTTCATTGCTCACCAAAGGGATATATGGTTTGCATATGTTCAAAAGTAGATGAAGAGAGTTAGTTTGAAATACTTAGCTTTCTTGGATTGTTGAGAGAAAATTCTTTGAACCATCATGTACTTGGTTAAAGCCAATAGTATAATTGGTGAGTAATTTGACATTGATGAAAACTTCAACACTGGATGTGTGAACAGAAACATAACCTTTCACTGACTCTTCTCTTATTTAATTTTTCTCCTCATTTTATATCAAAAGAAATTTTGCATAGGCTTACCACTTTCTTTTTTTCTTCTTCTTGGCTCATTTTCATTGATCCAAAAACAATTTCACATTGGCTCATGAACTGGAAAGAAAAGGAAATAAATTTGCAAGCCTATCTTTGTGAAGGCAAAGTTTTCATTGGTCCAAAGAACATTTTTCACATTGGCTCACAAATTTCTTTGTCTTTTTCATCAGCTCACCCAAACTTGAAGGGAGTTGGTAAAGGGAGTTATTATTTTGTACTCACTACAACCTTCAACACCAAGTGCAATTTTATCAGAACTGATCCAATGAAACTAGAAGAAGAATTAAGTGACATTAATAGCAGCCTCCAGCATAACAACTATCCATCCTGTCTTGTTTCTGGGATGAAGAATAAAAGAACCTCCAATATGACTAACAATAGAACTAAAACAAGCATTCCTTATGTAAAAGAGGTGGCAGAACAAATTCAAAGGATTTATTAACATTACAATACTCATGTGGTAGTTAATATTAAAACCAATATTTGCAGGAAGCCAGAAAAGTGTTCCACAAGCAAGAAGTGTGAGAAAAAATATTAGCATAGAGCTTATGTTTACAACTAGCAATTTAAACAGTGAAATTATGAGACCTGGCAGCCAATCTAGTACTACACTTATATTCATGAAATTGAATTACCAAAAACAAAAGTTCATCAGAACAATTACTGTGAAAATATTTATAAAAGAGACATATGGAAGCTATGTTACCATGGTGTGAAAGTGACTGAAGCCAAGATGACAGGTTAGGATCAATTCTTCTTTGAATTTTGTCAAGAATCTCTAGATATATAGCAAAAGTACCAGACCAGATGTAGCAGCAGTATTCAATACTTAGACAAATAATAGATTCTGGTGACAAATATTGTCTAGCCCAACATAGTGCACTGACTTACCTCACAACACACTTTGGAATTGCTTCAATATAATGATTTCACTTCATTTCAGTAAAAAACACAAGACAAGGAAGTTGCAGTGAGTTGCTCTCTTGGAAGTTATCATCAGCTGTGCTAATGGAAAGCAAAAATGATTCTCTAAGATGTCAAAAATATAGCAGTTTCATTTTGAAGGTATTAAAATTTATTAGCCATTTTTTGCATCAGTTAACAACAGATTTAAGCTCATTTTCAAAATCAGCTGCCAGTTTTACTTTATTGAACCTGTTGAATTAACTATTAAGGCAGAAGTAATTGTGTCATCTACATAGATACTGAATCACAAACTGATGATATCTGGAAAGTCATAGATGAAAATAAAGAACAAGTGGGTTCAAGAATAGAGTCCTGTGGGACGGTCACATTAATGTAAAATGATCTAGAGGAGTGGCCATTCAGCACAACTTTCCTTACATATTTTGATAAAAAAGATTGAATGAAATTAAAAAATTGGCAAGAAACATCATAGACCAGCATGCTAAATCTTGTCAAATGTCTTTGAAGCTATAACGTTCAGCTTTCAGCAATAACTGTCAATGCCATGACCTCAAGAAATGAAAGCCATATTGTTTACCTGAAAGAAGACCCAGCGAGGTGAAATACTTAACCAATTCAGAGTTGATTAGAACTTCTTGTACTTTGCCAAAGAGAGGTAGAAGACTAATAAGTTGATAGTGTGTAGGATCAGACAATTCTCCAGAGTTATTAAAATCACAAACTACAGAAGAGGATTTCTATCAGTCCAGAAAGGAAGAAGCAGAAAAACATCTATTGTAGATCATAGAGAGAGCAAGTGCCAGTTTAAGGGTACATATCTTAAAGAGAATTGTAGGGAAAACATCAAGTCCACATAATTTATTTGGTGATGGTAGTCAAAATCAGGGACAGTATTAAATGCATATCATACAGTACTGACTCTCTTCTAACTGAAAAGTTAGACAAAGGAACTTTTGATGAGTCAAGATTAGTATTGAAAGAGAATTTGTAGGCAAAACATTCTGCTTTATTTGCAAAAGATTATAGCACTTCAAATTGATTGAAGAGATGAAGGATTGGGGACTTAACCTTATTTAACACACTCTTACAGGGCCTCCTGTAGTAATGAGAACCAAACTTGCGACAGGCTATATAAATGTTGAAACTTGACTAATGCATGGAATAATAATACAACACAAAATGTATTGAAACAAGAAAGGTACACACTATTTACATATAGTATTTTGTATATTCTTGGGAAGACCGTTTCTGGAGAATGTGTTGACTTAGTTGCAGTCGGGCAGAGTCTCTGGATTGAATCTCTTGATTCCTTCCCTCGTCTTCCCGGTACCAACCATATTTATATGGTCGGTACTCCACTATGCAAATTAGGTGGATCCTACCACAACAATAAAGTACCTCACTCTATCAGCAAACAATGATTTAGCTTCTCTTAGAGCATGTTTGCACTTATTACAAGCAGACAAAAAGAGGCATCTGTTGTGATCAGAGCTATGACATTGGTATTATATCAAAAAAGTGATTCCTGTGGGTTATAACAGCTGAACATGCAGATGTGAACCAAGGGGAAGATTGCAGTTTTATCTGGTATTTACTAGGAAGGCACAAAAGTCTCAATGCTGGCTTTCACCCAAGAAACTTGAGAGGCACAATTTTCAGTAGGAAAAAGTGAAAATTTCATTTCAAGGGGCATCATGAAGGAAATCAGAAAATGAATCCCAATCAGTACGTTGGTAGCAGAAAGAAGAATTTTGAATAGGGACTTCATGTCTAATAGATGAGTCAAAAGAAATATCAACAGTATGGTCTGAATTGCTAAAAGAACAGAGTTGCAAAGCATGACAAGGATTTGAGTGATTTATTTCGTTTTTTACGGTTTATCAACCATTTATAAGTGTCAGGAGAGTAGTTAAGAAATAAATTGAGTAAAGAGGCATGTTAATCAGAATTATAAAGGAAACATGTAAGAAGCCAACAATTTAACAGAGAAAAACAATTGAAAAAATAAGTCTGAATACGGCAACATTTGTAGTATTAGAATAATGAAGCGACTTGACATGATGAACATTAAAATTTACACTTTATCTGTTCTCATAAGTTTTGCCAACCTCAACTTTCCTTAGGTGGTTCAATTTGTTCTCATTAATTATATCTAATGAAAGCTGATGAATGAATTAGCAGAAATGCTGTTAGCAACAGCAACTATACAAAAAAAATTCAAATGACCAAATAGTGTTGAATAAGTTAATGAATCTTTTCAAAGTTATAGGCAAGAACAAGATCCAAATATTTCCTTGCATCCAAAACTTTAGCTGTCAAAAAAAAAACTGAAGGGTGCAGTAGTTTGAAAATGTCTCTCTAAAACATACTTTTACCCAACAAATATAGCAAGTTTTATTTCTTATTAATGGTAATACGGAATAATCCAGGGAGCTTTGCAAGGAATTTCATTGACACAAATGGCTTAGAATCAGTTTTACTACTTTTGCCAGTTTCTTTGACATTTTAATGTAAAAGGATTGCTCAGTGCTGTAAATAAATGTGCAGTTTCTCTGTTCTTCCTGTCTTTTGGACAGAAATTTTATCACGAAAGTATCAATAGCATAACCTTAAATGAATGAAGTGAATCATAGAACCTTTGATTCTGATTGGATGAAGCAAAGATAGAGGGATAAACAGATTTGAATAGAAGAATTTCAATAATATGGGATTTGAAGAATGAGAATGAATAAGCTTGAATCAATGAAAGAAACAAAGCAAAATAAATGTACCAAATAAGAAAGAGTGAATGAAGAAGAGAAAGGATGAACAAGAGAATGAATATATTTTTAAATAAAGGAAGGAAACAAGTGATGTTGATTTGAAGGTTGGAGCAAAACAATGAATGAAAAATTAAGGAATAACAGATCAAGTAAATGAAAAACTGAATGAAGAATAAAATCAGAGAATAAGCAATAGAGCGAGTTATGGATAACAATAAAATGAATGGATGATTAACAAAAAGAAGTGTTTTTTAAGTGAATAAGAAAATGGAAATGAAAGAAAATTATTGAGTGAATGAATGATAGAATGAAGAAATTAGTGAATGATGGAACAGAGTCCAACACTGAATGAGGAAGTGTTGTTCATTAGTGGTTTAAATAAGCCAATCAGCTTCAACTCATCCATAAGTGGCTGAGGGTAGGAGTAAGAGGAAAGTTGTGATGATGAGAGGATAAGAATAGAGCATGCAGAGATATTGTGAATTAGAGCCAATCAGCTGCTGACAAAAAAAAAAGGAAAGAAAATGAAAACAAAGTAAAGAGAAGATAGAAAGAATTCTGTCAACAAAAGACAAGGCAACATTCTGTCAATGAAAATAAGGTGACAATTAGATGGAAATGAAGAGTCGGTTGGAGTTTTGTGGGCAGCCAGACTAACTACCTCAATATGGAATTTGTATAAAAAGATAAGGGAGAAACTGAAGGAAGAAAGCCATAGATATACTCACATATCTATCACATTCTCTTAATTATCTACCTTTATAATTATCTTTCTCAGCCTGCATTATCTATGTCTTTTGATATCTTTCTCAGCCTGTATCTATCAATCTATTTCTTTCTTGGCCTGCATCTATCGATCCATATTTGTTTGTCTATATTTCTGAGATGAGGTATTATGTACATTATTTACATTATTCAGACTATTGTCCTCATCTTTGTTGCCATATTTATTACAACGTTTCACTCCGGCCTTCTTCAGGTGGTTGGAATATCGAACTGAACCCTTTATTTTGCTCACTGGGGTAGACTGTTCTAGTTTCACATGCCATGTTTAATGGATCTCAGTTATCAGTTATCTCCTGTTAATTTCCCTCTGAAAGTTCTCTACTGAACTCACACTCTTTGGGTCCTGTCACTGGATCTAACAAATGCCTTTATCCACTGTACCATGTGTCCTTGAGGACATCAGTGTATGAAATTCTGGGTATTATAAACCTAATGTCTCAGCAACCATTTTTACCAGTGCTCATATTGCAGTTTTTGCTGTTATCATTCCATGTTTTTACCAGTGCTCATATTGCAACTTTTGTTGTTATTATTTCTTTTCTCTTTATTACTGGCTCCATATTGTATTGGTCGGCTCAGGAGATTTTTGTGGCCTAGCATATGTGCTGATTCCTTAAGTTTACGAATTTTCCAATGGTGTTCCTTGTCTATGATCACAACCTATCCCCACAGTGGGCGGTGATCTCCCTTCTCTCTCCATATGTGGTCAGCCACGCCTGATTTTTCCACTTCCCCTCGTGTTACAGCTTTCTGGTGTTCTTGAAGCCTTACCTTAAGTGGGTGGCCTGTCTCCCCTTTATATTTCTTTCCACAGCTGCATGGGATAGTGTACACACAGTCTTTAGTCATGTTCTCCTCTATGGGGGGGAGGCTCTTACTCGGAAGAGATATCTGTGAAGTGTCGTCAAGCTTTTGAAGATTGTCCTGATGTTATATGGACTGCTGATCCTTTGTATTTTCTCTGATAACCCCTTTCACATAAGGCAGGCAGACTCGTTCCTGAGTATTGTTGTCCTCATTATATTTGTCTATTTTTCTCAGCCTGTATCTGTCTATCTACATTTGTATATTTATCTCTTCCTTGTATCTATCTATCTACATTTGTATATTTATCTCTTCCTTGTATCTATCTATCTATCTATCAATCTTTGTCTATTTATCTCTTTCTCAGCTTGTATCTATCTTTGTCTATTTATGTCTTTCTCAACCAGCATCTATCTATCTTGGTCTACCTGTGTCTCTATTTCTCAGCCTGCATCTATCATTCAATCTCTCAGCCTGCATCTATCTATCTATATATAAGAGTCTGCATCTAACTAACTTTGTCTATTTATATCTTTCTCAGCCTGCATCTATCTGTCTATTTATCTCAGCCTCTATCTATCTTTTTCAGCCTCTATCTTTCTCTATCTATTTTTCTCACACTCTATCTATATTTTTCTATTTATAGCTATCTATCTATATATCTATCTTCATCTGTTCATATCTTTTTCAGCCTGCATCTATTTATTTATATCTTTCTCAACCTGCACTTATCTATATATCTATCTATATTTGTCTATTTATTTCTTAGCCTCTATCTAATGCTCTCAGCCTGCACCTCTCTCTCAGCCTGCAACTATCTATCTTTCTCAGCATCTATGTATATTTGTCTATTTATATCTTTCTCAACCTTTATCTATCTTTCTATAATTGTGTATTTATTTTTCTTAACTTGTACCTATCTATCTTTGTCTATCTATATCTATCTTTGTCTATTTATATCTATCTTTGTCTACTTATATCTTTCTCAGCCTGCATCTGTCTATCTATATTTATCTGTTTGTATTTTTCTCAACTTGCATCTATCAAGTGCCTTGAGGAGATAGTGCTGCCCTATCTATCTATATTTATATCTTTCTCAACCTACATCTATCAATATATCTACCTATATTTGTCTATTTATCTCTTTCTCAACTTGTATCTATCTTTGTATCTGTATTTGTCTGTCTATATCTGACTCTGTCTTTCAACTTGCATCTATCTATTGCTCAGCATGTATCTATCTCTCAGCCAGCATCTAACAGCCTGCACCTATCTATCAACTTACATCTATTTATTGATTTCTCAGCCTACATCTATTTCTTCTCAGCTAGCATCTGTCTTTTTCTATTTATTGCTTTCTCAGCTTGTGTCTATGTATCTATCTTTGTCTATTTATCTTTCTCAGCTTGTATCTATATATTTATATTCCTCTATTTATATTTTTCAGCCTGCATCTATCTACCTATCTCTCTATGTCTATATTTTTTGGCCTGCATTTAACTATATATAATAATCTATCTACCCTGGCTTGTTCCTGTCTGTCTGTACATATAAGCATATATTTATATATATGCATATGTCTGGGAGTGGGCTATAAATTGCTAAGGGGAGTCACGGTGTGTAACTATAAAGATGGAAAAAACTGTAGCTAACGGAAAGTATACAAGTCGATACTCAATCAGTATCGGCTGGGTCACTGTGGAGAGGGGGTATGATGTTGAAAGACCTAAAAACCCTAATGAACCTCAGCTAGAAACATCACTGACGATGTCTACCAAATCATCCAATAGATGTATTTTATGAATATCTCCATTTACATAATGACAGACTATTGCAACAATTGTTCAGACATATTTTCAACATTTTCAATCTATATTCTTATGCATGTATATATGTTTATAACAGACTTTATATACAAAGAAAAATATTCTCTTGTTTGAAGGCTGAAAAAGGTATAAATAGATAAAGATAGATTGTACTAAATACAAATGTAAGTGTACTAAGTATATATATATATATATATATATATATATATATATATATATATATATATTGTGTGTGTGTGTATATATATATATATATTGTGTGTGTATATATATATATATATATATATATTGTATGTGTGTATATATATATATATTGTATGTGTGTGTGTGTATATATATATATTGTATGTGTGTGTGTATATATATATATATATATATATATATTGTATGTGTGTGTGTATATATATATATATATATATATATATATATATATATGTATGTGTGTATATATATATATATATATATATATATTGTATGTGTGTGTATATATATATATATATATATATTATTGTATGTGTGTGTGTATATATATATATATATATATATATATATATATATATATATATATATACATTGTGTGTATATATATTTATACACACAAATAGGACATGGGTAAATTGTTGCAATTTTATTTTCTTTAATTTCACACATGTGCATTGTTTGTCTTTTATTTTGTCAATTGCACCGTATAGTAAGGTCAGTTAGACACCGTCTGTGAGGAAAAGAACACCATGACACAATTCACTCTTCCAGAAAAATGCTGTACTGCTTGGCATTCATGCCAGAATCTCCAATACAAACATTTCAGAGTGTTTGGGTGTCAATCTGAGGACAGTGCAGAGGATTCAGAAAGAGTTGGATGAGTCTAATGGTGATTACGAAGGTGTTTGGAGTGATGACTAGTGATGGCAACATTATACCTCCATTCATCTTTCCACAGGGCTTCAGATACAACATAGAGGCTTCCATCAAGTGCCTTGAGGAGATAGTGCTGCCCTGTGTCAAGAGGTGGTTTTTGGAAGACCCTATATCTGGCAACAGGACTCTATACCATGCCACAAAATAGGAGAACCTAGTAATGGCTAACAGACAATTTCTGTGACCACATCACTTTTTACATTCAGCCACTTAACTCCCTGGACTGCACCCCCTTGATTGTTATGTGTGGGGCTGTGGTAAGACAACCTGATTACCTTCTCTGTCTTATGATTTATATAAATAAGTTACACTGTCTTAGTCAAAATGGGAAGACTCTTCAGTTATGCTCAATAAAGTTGCATTAAGCTGAACTAGACTCCTAGTTTTCATTAAAATTTATTAAATGTAACTATGGATAAATACCTTAAACCAGAACGGCACAACTTGAACTCTGCAGACCCATCTTCTACTGACACCAGGCAATATTAGAAATGATTATTTGAAGGATTCTTGCTTGCACTGGAAAAGAATTCATCCACTCCTATTATTGATACAGACAGGCTTAACCTGCTAATGCACCATGTTTCCTTATCTATATATCTGTATATACCAGGTTTGGCCCCTGCTGGCAAGTTAGCAAACCAGAGAGGGGAGCTGCTCTCCACTAAAGCAATACCACTCCCTCTTGATACTAACAGTGACACAATGCCATTGGATTCTCCTGAGGAACAAGTCCTCGATAGTGATGATTCAGAGATTGACACCAGAATAGGTCCCTCAAAATGAGAGCATACTACCACAAACTCTGATAATCAGCTTTCAGAATCAGTATGTCCCACTCCAAGGAGATAAAAACGATATGAGATGAAATACTTCTGGCTGATTGTTCCCATAACACTTGAAAGCCCAGATAAAATGCCACCAAGATGATCCCAGAGAATTGTCAAGAGACCCAGTCACCTGGATGATTTGTCAGATTAGGAAAAAACAAATCTGGGGAGAATGTGGTAAAACGACCTGATTACCTCCCCTGTCTTGTGATTTGTATAAGTCAGTCACACCGTCTTGGTCAAAATAGCAAGACTCTTCAGTTGCATTCAATAAAAGTATATTAAGTCAAACTAGACTCCGAGTTTTCATTACAGGGTCACATTTGGGTGAAAGACCAACATAACTCCTCCTGACACCAAAGATGAAATAAAGGCAGCAATTATGGCATCATTCACCAACTTAAACAAGGAGACTGTCTAGAAGAGATGCAGGAGATTCTGGAGTTGTCTGGAGGCCATGGTTAAGGTTAATGGCAATTTTATTGAATAAATTTACTCTTTATTATTTCAAGATATTTTTGTGTAATTTTGATAAATATATCTGTTAAAATTAGATGTCAGTGTTATTTTCATTTTTGCATAACTTAGATGATAATTTATCCATCACAAGCTGTTTAAAAGTTGATATGGAAGTTAACATCCAGTGGTTGACAGTCATGGGTTAGGGTTATGCTTAAGCCTTAATCTTCAGGCCATGTATATTGTGTTCTGGCTTGACTATTTATATATGCTAATTAATGATGCATTATGGTAGTAGTAAAGTCTATTGTATTATCCTAATGTTTATTGGTATCTTATAACAGTCATGTTTCAAATTATTCCAGAGGCTATTGAGAGGAAATAATTTTGCATCCAAATGCAGTTATTTGTAGTTATTTATAGTGTTTTATGTTAACTTATTTTACTCATTATTTAATATTGTTTGCTTTATTATTAGTTATTGATGGCTATTGTTACATTTATTTGTGTTTATATGTGTATTTGTAGTTTGTTAATTTGTTTACTTATTTATTGATTTAGAGTTTTTATTTTATTTTACTTATTTGTTTTTATTTTTATTGTTTTTTGTTTATTTTATTTCTTTTCATAGTCCGTTTTTAGTTTTCAATTTTTAAGTAAGTGTGGTAAGATTTTCTTTTGTTCCTGCATTTTGAGATGAGTTCTGATTATTTATTTAGTGATTTGTGTTGGTTTGGAAAGGTAATTACAGCTGTTTTCTCCTCCAGACAGAGTTTACAGTTTTGGCATTTATTGTTGTTGATTGATGCTGTTTTCTTTATTTTCCATGATATTTTTGGTGTGATTTGGTTTTAATTTTCCATATATGCTTAGAAAGCATTGTGCCGTTTGTGTATTTATTATTTGTAAACTGTGTTTTATGTGTATAGTTTCTCTGTTTCCAAGATCCTTCAGTTACTCCTATGTATATTTTTCTTTGTTATCTACTGATTTTACAGTAGCTTGGTATATTAAATAATCTTGTAAGCAGTTGCCATTTAATGAACATTTGTTCTTTGCTCTGTAGTTATATGTTAATTAAACTTGCACATACTACAAAAATACATACATACAGTGACAGGCAAAATTGTTGGACATAAGAGATTTCTAGAAACAAAATAATAATTTTTATTTTTGCTACTAATCTTATACTGAAATTTATATTGAAACTTGTATTTCTATTATCGCCATGAACCTAAAATTGAACATAATATACTAAATACTCAGGATAGACTAATCTTATAGAATGCAAAGACCAGGACCAAGATGGTCAGCCAGCAAATAGTCAGAATACTTCATAGGCATGATATTCTGACAGTGATGAATTGCCTTTGTCTGGGTTTTGGATATAAGTTCAAAATGGCATGCCTTCAACAGGGGGCCCGCAAGAAATTTAAAGTGTCGATACACTTCTCACACCCAGGATTGAGAGACAGGCTAAACCACATGTGGAGGGACACTAAGCCAGTGAATGACATGCATTCCCTTGAAGTTTTTCCTCCCACTACCTCTTAGAATCAGAGCTGACATGTTTTTCCATCTCTAATAAAAATGAACAAGATAAGAGAAATCATCTTTTCATTATTACCATCTATGCAGTAGCGTTGGGATCCAGAGACAACATGAAATGCAACACTATGAATGAAAATAAATAAAGAAATATTTAAAATTAAAATTAAATTTACTGACAAATAGAATATATGGTCACATGCAAAGGTTTTGAGATGTGCATGAATAAACAGTGTTGTATATTTAATGAAATATCTGTTTTTTTATATGATGGTAGTCAGAAATTAACACCAATTCTATCCCACTCATACTGAGTAATTACATGTTTTGCATGATAATTTCTGTTGTATTTTCAAAATAAATTTGTGTTGGAAAACATTCTTAATTTTCATTTATATATAGTATTCAACAACAAGAGAAATTATTTTCTTAAAAATCCTTTATATATCCAGTATTATATATATATATATATATATATATATATATATATATATATATATCATGATCAAGAGTCCTGAAACCATTTAGGGTAGTAGGGACACCACATGTACTGCAAGAGGGGAGCAGTGGTGTTTTCTGGGTAAGAGGAGGCTGGTTTAAATTCAGAATTTTCCTTTTCCTAGATTGTCAATCAGGGCTATAGGACCCAGTCTATCCTGCTATTTACCCATAGCTAGGGAGGAGAAGAGATGGATTTGTGCCTTTACCAAAGGTATTAGCAGATAAGTGAATGTAATAAACTCGACTGAAATTTGAACTCGGCTCTTCGATTCCTCAATCCAAGCTGCTTGTGATGCTCTAAAATGTTGTCTTTTCCCTCAATAATATCTGAGCTCTGGAGTCATTCATCAGCTTGAAAATATAAACATTGCCCAAGTAATTGGTGTCCAGTTTGCTATGTAAATTCATTGTAAACTGACCCTCCTATGGAAGCCAAAACAAAATTTGCTCATGCCATATGATTTCTTAAAATATAAAAAAGTAAAAAGATTTTTAATTTCGTAACCTCAAGTATCTAATCTATAGTAGTATATGAAAAAAAATGCTCCAGATTACTAATTTCAACAATTATTTTATTTCTTTTCATTTTAAGAAATCATGTGGTGTGAGCAAATTCTGTTTTGGCGTCCATATTTATTTAATTTACAATGCATTTACATCACAAACTTGGGCCTTCTATTAACTTTTATAATTTTTTTTATATAGTTGTAATCTGGAGTGCTTAATCTATAGGAAAAATAATTGAAAATAATGATTATCTCTGGATGCAGTGTCTATTGTACAACTCCAGCGTGCTTTTTATCCTCATGTATTTAACCAAGTTGTTTTCTGTCTGTGGAAATTTAAAATAAATAACTTTGAATGAGACTCAAACTCACATCCCAGACTTTAGCAGCCTGTTTTTCAAAGACTTACACAACTGTTTTTCAAAGACACACAAACTGTTTTTCAAAGACTCACACAACTGTTTTTCAAAGACTCATACAACTGTTTTTCAAAGACTCATACAACTGTTTTTCAAAGACTTACACAACTTTTTTTGAAAGACTCACACAACTGTTTTTCAAAGACTCACACAAATGTTTTTAAAAGACTCATACAACTGTTTTTCAAAGACTCACAAAATTATTATGGTCAAGCAAGGTCCTCATTTGTAGTCTTTCTGCTCCTGTTTTTTCTTCTAATTTAAGATGCAAGTTACAAATTAGAGATATGAACATCAAGCAGGGGAAGAAGTTCAAATATATGGGAATTATTTTAAGAGATGCCAGAAAATGCAACAGTGAGATCCCAAAATCCATTGGACTAGTGAAAGAAGCATTCCAAAAGTTAAGCAAGGTGTTTAGAAACCAAAAAGATTAATTAGAAACAAAGAAAAGAGTGCTGGATTGCTCTATGATATCCATTCTCTTATATGGCTGTGAATGTTGGACAATCTCCCCATGGATGAGGAGAAGACTTTGAGGCAGTGAAAATGTGGCTCTACAGAAGGCTACTGAAAATTCTATGGATGAAGTGAGTAAGCAACAAAGAAGTCTTCAAGAAAATAGTAACAGAAAGAATACTTCTACTCAGAATCAGGAAAAGGCAGCTGAATTCCCTTGGACACATAATGAGGAAAGAGGGCTTTAAAAGCTTAACCCTTACAGGTATATGGGTGACCTATTTAATAAGAGCTATGTCTTAATCAAGAACCAATGATGAGTGAAAAAGATGACAGAAAATGAAAGAAAGATATTTTGAACTGGAAGAGCAAAAACAGATTTTGTTAATAATCTTTCAACTTGAATGCTTTCAAAGAATAATATGCTTTGATCTGTTCATAAAATATTTTCTTTTAGTTGCTTTTATATTATTTTCTTGGTTTATTTGTAATCTGAAACACTTTAGAATTTTTCTCATTTCAACTCTTTGAATACATCTCTCTTTCTTTCATCCTCTTTTCTCTTACTTAAGCTCTTTGAATACATTTCTCTCTCTTTTCCTCTCATTCTATTTTTTTACTTACTTAAGTTTTCAAATATCTCTTTCTCTTTTCCTTACCATCTTTTTCTTTCTTAAGCTCTTCAAATACATTTCTCTCTTTTTACTTCCTTAAGCTCTTCAAATACATCTTTTTTTCTTTCTCTCAATTTTTCTCCTAACCTATATTTCTCCTACTTAAACCCTTTGAATACATCTCTTTTTCTTTCTCTCAATTAAGCTCTTCAAATATATCTTTCTCTCTCTGTTTTTCTCCTATCCTATATTTCTCCTGACTTAAACCCTTTAAATACATCTCTTTTTCTTTCTCTCATCTTTTCTCTTATTTAAACTCTCTGAATATATCACTTTATTTTTATTTAATACGCCAACAAAACCTTTTACATTAGTCAATATTTGTTTTTTCATTTTGTGAATGGCTGAATTAAAAAAGAAGAGATCTTTTCATTGTTTAATTCCATGGTTTACAGAAACTGCAAATAATAATTAGAGGACACCTTAATGGCATCATATATAGTGATAAATAACTGCTGATACCATATAAGAATTTTATTCAGCATTAACACACAACATGACTAGGCAAGGGTAACATAATCTAAGTACTGTTATACACCAATAACCCCAAGACCTCAGTTACATTGCCATAAAGCAATGGGTAGCCAACTGTTACTATTGAAATGTGTGTGATTCTCAATATATACTTGATTAAATGGAGCTTAAATGCTTTGCATACATTGTCATAAAACAATGGGTAGCAAGCTCATCTTGCAATCCATAGCAATTGTAGTAAATTTGATCCCAATTGAATGCCTCATACTTGTGGCTTGATGCCAGACTAAGTTAGAATGATTCAATATCAATATTCCCCAGGCAATTAAAATATCTGCAAAATCTAGTGATTTTTTATCAACTGGTTTGATTTTATTTCTAATGTCTGTCTTTATTCTTTAAGCCTTTTTTCATGAAAGTTTATTTTTAGTAACATATCAAGAGTTTCAAATCAATACATCAATCAGAAAAGGAGCAGTATCAATTAAAAGTTATGTGCAGGTGAAAAAAAATCCCTCACTTCCTGGGGATAGGGTTAAGATAAAGTCAGGGGTTAAGTTAAATCAAATAAAGTCATTGTGATATAAATATAACATAGTTTAGTTTAAGTTTACAAGTGGGCATTTTTTCTATAAGAACATTTCTAAAGCACTTTTCTCATTAAGAAATTAAGAGAAAATCCATGTTATATGATAATAAAAATCTGAAATCATTATTATTTTTACAAATGAATGCAGCAAACAACACATTTACACATGTTTGTACTTATTTACAGATCCCAGGATATGTAATGTTAGGCATAGAAATGAGTCCATGCCAATATGGGTGACCTATTTAATATGAAACAGTTACCTGGATATAATAACTGCAATAGAGGGAGTTTTGCTTAACCCTGCAAATTGCTGCAAAATCAAAACATTAACCTGAAAACTCAAATCAAGATCAAGATTTTCATATGGATGCCATGCATAGTACCAAATGCATCTAGAAATATGTAAACTGCCAGCTGTATACAACCACTTTCTTAGATCAATGGGTAAAAATACCTTTGATCGAGTGAAGCTGATTGGTCTTTGTAAAGCCCATCCCTCTTTGAACACTGTGGACTGGTGCTACAGAATCATAAACAAAGGACTATACCAAATAATAGAAACAACATCTTGAATACTATCAATAGAGGCAACAACTAAAATGGATAGTACATGTAACTTGAAAAGAAAATAATGACATAATCACAATGTTAACATTCCATACTATTTCAAGCAAAAGGTTAGCAAGGAACCCCCCATCAATACTGAAAAGGGTGATAACAGCTACTGAACTTGAGAAACCCATTTTCCTGAAAAATTGTTTTAAGAGAAAGATTTTATAAATTTTAACTGAAAGCAGTACTGGCTGCTTGGTCAATGAATACTAAATGTTTCCTTGTAGGGAACAACTAAGACTTACCATTACCATCATGCTTGTCTTTTGGGCCTGAAGACTTTGTTTTGCAATTCATTAATGGATCTGAAGGTGACTTTGCAAGATAAGTCTGGATTTTAGGGTCTGAAGCAGTGTGTACACTTAAATTTGGTTTGTTGTGATCAATGCCAAAGTTGCCTAGTGGCATTATTCTATTTGAGTGGCAAGTTTTTGATACTGGGTTTCTTTGAAGTTTGCAGGAATTTGGCAGACATTAGCATGCCAAAGCAATCAGTCAGCAGCATACTCCTTTGGTCTGATCTTTTACTAGTGGAGGTTAGTTCTGAGTAAGTCTTTGTACTGTTTCTTTGTTCAGTCTTACTGCCTTCTGCCACATAGAAACCCTCCATAGAACAGGTATGTGATGTTGCACCATGTGAATGATGTGGCCAGTCCATCAGACTTGTACTTTATTCAGTGTTTCAATAATGCTGGGATTGAATGCTCTGAGCCACATGCACACAGTTGTAGAGTAATAGTAACAGATTTTCCATCTTCTGAAAAATAAAATATAATAAAAATTCAGATGATAAAATTTTCTTTGAATTAATGATGAACAGTTTGTCAGGTATGCTGAAAATATACAATTTTATTCAAGGAATCAAACTATGTCTATTATTACAATTCAAAAGGAACAGAATGGTTCCTTGCCTCTCCAACTCAGTTATGTGCCATGCGGGATACACGCTGATGAGGTAGATTTTTTTCCTGCAGTAGGTTGCCATTTCATTTTGTGGTAGACCAGTTGCCATCCAAGGCTACAGAACCCTGTCTGTCCTGCTATTTGCCCATAGCTGGGGGGAGAAGAAGAGGATCCATACCTTTCCCAATAAAAAATTTGTGATTAATCATCAAAAGAAATCTATATGAAAATGGTAAGTAATATTCAAGCAAAGATATTTGGAAAGTAATAAAAAACTGCTACATGTAATTTTGAAGTTGAAAGAATAGAAAGGTAAATAAAATCAATGATTGAAAGATTGATGAAGGTTATATAATGTCAGAGAGCCCATATTAACATATGAAATAATTAAATAATTATTCAGTTATATAAAATATTGTGTTAATCAAATATATACTTCTATGGCCTGTATCTTTTGGTTTTATTCATAGTTATTTTTATATTATACAACCTGACAACCACAAGCAAGTTATTAACAATATTTTTAATGTATAAAAATATGTTGAAATTTAGCCAATATATTTGCTTATAGAAATAAAAGTATATCTCCCCAAAATTTACCAAACAGAAAATGAAGCTCTTCTCTCAGCTTTTCACTGACTGGACAGTGAAACCTCATATTTCTTATCTTTTCTTTTACATGTTGGTGTGCACCGAAAACTGGGAAAGGGTTATTGGATGTTCACAAGGGAAATGAAAAGGGGAAAAATAAATGCCATTCTGATAAATGAAGACGCAAACATTTTTTTCAATATTTTTCATTATTCATTTCAGGGATTCGCTCATATGGTTTAGGTAGGCAGGTAGTTGACACTTGGGGGACAAATTCTGCCAATTCTGAAATCTCAGACTAACAGATCACAAAGCAACTTTCTACTACCAACTCTGTGCCTATCTCTACATCACAATACATGGCTGGGAGCTCTCTCTTGATGGATGCTATTCATCCCATAATAGCCAACATGGCACTACTTCAATCCCATATGTTCACCTATTGTCCAGTTCATACTCCTCCCCAGTTTCTTGAACAGGAATAGAGGTTTATCCCCTTTTTCCCTGTTCCTTCTAATTTCTTTTCATTCTCTTTCACTCCCGTTAGCCCTTTTATCTTATTGACATTATCACTTTGCTTGGGATGGAGTAATAAAAAAATCCTGACTGTTAATATAAAGCTTCCAACTGGAAATCTTCAACATTTACTTTGTTGTTTTCTTGTTCCTAAAAGTTTTCACTTATTTATTTATTTATTTTATTCACTTTTGGTCAAGTGGCTTGATGCTTTTGCAGACTCCATTTCACAGACTTTATCACTGGTTATAAAACATGAAACACTTAAGACAGATAAAATTACACACCATCCCCACTATGCGGATACCATTCATAGTGTCACAAATTAATACTAATTTTATTTGGAAAATATTGACTTGCATAATAAAATCTGACATATAAATATATAAAATATTCAAACACAAGTGTATACTATACACATAGTTCTTACAATATCTTGACTTCTTGATAGCAGTCGTATTTTTTCAGACTCGATATATATAAGATCAGTAAATATCTATCGATTTGTCTTGACCAACCCAGATTAAAATTAAGCTGCTCACAGACAGGATCTGACAATGGACGGCATTTTTCACAAGATTATCAGCATTTCAATTTGTACTGATTTACCAGGCCATGAATGTTTGCATCGATGTAAAGGCATAGTGAAAACTCTTAAAGACATTAATGTCAAAACTGATTAAAAAACTTCTGAAGAAATTGTGTTAATTCTATCAAACATAGATAGAAATCTGTTTTTAAATCTCAAAATTGAAAAAGGTTTACCTATTTTGATGAATGGGTATTCTCTCAGGGAGGCCCCATGCCTTATGCATCTATTGAGACTTAAGCTCAGCCCAGACCTCAAGTTGAACTCGTACATACAATCCTGTACTGCTACTGTAAATACCTAATTTGTCCTGTTTACAAGAGCCAGATTTGGATGAAGATAGATTATTACTGCCATATATTGGCAGGAGCTGCCCAGTCTTCACTTTCTAGTTTCAACAGAGTCCAAAAGTGTTTCTACATCATTGTGAGTGATAAATTATTTCCTACTCTACAACCCCTTTTCTCATAGATGAAATATCAGAAGCCTCTTGCTGCTCTATCACTATTTATATAGAAAGTGTTCAGATTTTACATCCATAGTATTCTCAGCATATATTCTTAGCATCACTGTTGCTTCAAGTCTAATATTCATCTGCAAGGATATTATTCAGCATTCAGGTTTTTTGGTTTGTTTGATTTGTTTTATTTTACAGCATATCAACCACAATGGGTTATTTAATGCCGACAAAATATTCACATTTTTTTTCAAAAATGTATAGCTGGTAATATTTTTTTCAAAAATGTACAGTTTGGTTTGTTTT